CCTTAAAATACAAACGAATATTAGCATTATTATTCAAGCCAATCATTGACAGTGTAATATAATAGATAATTATCCCCTCTCTTACTGTACCAGGTCAAAGACTATGGCTGGCCAGACCACCTTGCACCACCCCTGGAGCGCCTGTGCTCCCTGTGCAAGGCCATCGACTCTTGGCTCAACGCCGACGTGCGGAATGTGGTGGTGCTGCACTGCAAGGGAGGCCGAAGCCGCATCGCCAGCGTTATCGCTGCCTACATGCACTACAGCAACATCTGTGCCAGGTAAATAAACCGTGAAGGTCAAGGGTGGTTGGTGGGTGATCTGGTGTGGTTCGCTCCTTCCTTTTTTGTTTCTGTCGAAGAGCTTTCATAATTATCTCTCCTTCTTCTTTTCTTTGGATGTTACTCTCTAGTATTATCTCTAATCTTAGACACGTATAGGGTCTATTTGTGTAGTAAAACTTTTCTTACTAAAACTAAAACCATGGTGTATCGTGTCCGAATTCTGAAGGGTGCTGAGAACGATCAAACTCCCGCGTTCTCTCACTTTAGATCGGTGTAGTTTTTAATAAGTTGTTTTGAATGTTCGACGCCCTACTCCACAATCTTTTGATGTATAACATTTTTCAGATGTTGGAAATGTTTTTGTAAATCATATAGAAGGAACGCTGCTTCAGCAATGCTTGTTAGGGGCTCCCAGGACTGTGTGGGAACCATAGATTCAACTGTCAAAAAAAAACAAGTTGAACTTCAGATATGTGTAGTAGTAGTAGTAGTAGTAGTAGTAGTAGTAGTAGTAGTAGCAGTAGCAGTAGTAGTAGCAGTAGTAGCAGTAGCAGTAGCAATGGTAGTAGCATTAGTAGTAGAAGAAGAAGAAGAAGAAGAAGAAGAAGAAGAAGAAGAAGCAGTAGCTGTAGACTACTGTCACTACTACTACTAATTGTTATAATGAGACTCGTCGGTCATCAGTCAGCTGTAGAGGATCCGAGATGGCACATACATGCATAAAGTTTACGTTTTAACATTTCCTAACGGGTTAGATCAAACGTTACGCAGTCCCATTTATATTTTTAAATTTTGGCCAAGTTTAAGGTCAAAGTTCAGACACGTTTCCTTTCTCCTCACAAGTCAACTCTTTCGTCTCCACGATTGGAAGGAACCTTCTAAAACAAAAACCAATGAACGGCAACACGAATCCTCCTAAACGAAATAAAACATGGCGACATGCTTAAAAAACAATTTCGTCAACACCTGTTTGTATGGCCACCATTGTTCTGACCCGCCTCCATTTGTTTCTGGGGTTTTTACCGCGCAAACAAAGGCTTCATGCCTGTCAAGGTCACGATAACCTCCACATTCACCCTCCAGGATATTGTGTGAATGGTTGCAGTCTAAGCCCATGATCCAGACAATTTATCGCAGCCAATGTGTCGTGTAGACAGGGCTCATAACACTAATGTAATGGAATGAATTGTTATTTTTTTTAGTATTATATAAATTGAGATCTTCTTGAAAGTTCACATGATTACAAAGAGGTGTGTGTGTTTGTATGTGTGTTTTCGTGCGTGTGTGTGTGCGTGTGTGTGTGTGTGTGTGTGTGTGTGTGTGTGTATGTGTGTGTGTGTGTGAGTGTGTGTGTGCTTAGGGATATATATAATGCTGTTGAGTTAACTACAGAGATCAATAACGCCCTCTTACGACCGGAGATCGATTGCGGAGCTTTGGAGAATGTTACTCAAAGCGTGTGTGCAAATAATTGTTTGTGCTAATACAAACGTCTTTGTTTGCTTCTATTCACGTGCTTTTGGTTCTGGCGTCTGTGTTGTGTAGCGGTTAGGCCCTTCTTCGCCGTCGCACGCAATGGGAAGCTTTGGGGGGGGGGGGGAGGAGGAGAAGAGAGAGAGAGACATGAGATCGATTCCCGTGAGGGGAAAACTTTATCGAGTACCTCCGTCTTTTTGTGGGACGTCGTATACCTCTTAGCTCGGGTTAGGTTAGGTTTAGTAAGAGTTTTACGACACTTGCACCACAATAAGGTCACAAAGTACCGAAGATTAGAGATGCTACAAGAGAGTAACACACACAAAAAAGAAGGTGGAGAGATCAGGACGATAGAGGTTTGATAGGAAAGCCGGAGCAAAACACACCGGGTGCTCGGGTTAGCCCAGACGGGCAGGGCCGAAGCAGCCTGTTCGCTAGAAACCATCTAAACAATGTCGTTGGGGATGTAAAACGTGTACAATAATCATATTAAAGTGTTTTTGTTTGAATGTATTCTGTTCTCTGCTTATTTCTCCAATGTCTGTGCACCAACCTGCATAAAATCTGAACCGCAAATTCTACAATTGGGTGCCTGTATTATATTTTCCCAAATAGGATTAAAGCAGTTGTCTTTTTTTCGGCTTCCTTTTCTTCACTTTCTTTGATTTTTTCTTTGTTCCTTTTGTCTTTCTTTCTTTTCTTTCTTTGTCTTGTTTTCTCTTCCTTATAATTGTATTTCTTTTTCCCTTCTAGATATACTAAAACGATAAAAAGAAAAGGAAAAAATTGAAACTAGAAGCTACAGTTTCTCTTTATTTCATTTTTTTTTCTCTTTTCTCTTTTTGGCCCCTTAAACACACTCATTTTCTATCATGTTCTGTCTTTATAATTGCTAATTTATTATTCTTCCCTTATACTTTAACCACGTCTCACTTGTGACTTCGATTTTATTGTATCCACTATACTTCTGACTTACGTTACATTGAGGGTTTCCTTTATCTTGACAGTGCTGACCAGGCTCTGGACCGGTTCGCCATGAAACGTTTCTATGACGACAAGCTGGGAGGACTTCCGCTTCCTTCTCAGAGGAGGTAAACAATTGACGTGTGCGGTTTTTGGAGAAACGAGAGAAGCAGTCGATATTGGATCATATTTGTTTTTCTCTTTCCGGTTTGCTCAAATTTATATCCATCAGTATTTTGTCCCCTCCTACATCAATATGTGTTGCGTTTTGGGGTTTTTTGGGTTTTTTTCTATATTCTGGATATATTATTTATTACTTCATCCTACTTTCCCCCTGTCTCCCCTTATTTCTCCACCCTGCTCTCCCTCCCTCTCTCTCTCTCTCTCTCTCTCTCTCTCTCTCTCTCTCTCTCTCTCTCTCTCTCTCTCTCTCTCTCTCTCTCTCTCTCTCTCTCAG